GCACGCCTGGTCCCACTCCCCAGGCACGGGTCTCTGAACAGCAGCCACAGGCTCAGCCACGTTGTGCAAAGTCAGGTGAGCAGAGCCATTTTCAGAACTACCCCAAGAGTTCACCCTCCTCTCCACGGGAGCCGCTCCATTTACCCTCAGTGCACAGCTCCCAGCTGTGCCCACTTGCTACGATGTGAAAGCTCCTGTCCAACAGTACATTAACATGCTCGTAGGACAACCAAGGGTCCATGCCTCAGTATATCAGTGCCCCTACGCTTCCAGAGATCTCCACAACTATGGGATTTCGCAGGTACACGGCGTGTACCCACAGAAAAGCATATTCCCAGACTGAGCCTGACCAGGGAGAACTCCCAGCACTAGTTTCGGAGTTGACTGCAGAGTCAGAACTGAGGTCCTCGCCGGTGAGGGATGTGAGGACATTCTGCAGCCTGAAAGCTTTTCAGATACCTGCAGAATAGGACAGAGAAATGAGGTGCAGCTGCAACTACCTGATCACTGACACATAAAACTGTATCTCAGTGGCCAGTTAAACTGATGAATGAACTCCTAGAAGATTAATTCTTTTGAGAAACCTACACATGACACTAGAAGTGGGAGGCACTGGCCTACCAGAAGGGAGCCACAATGCCCAGCTGGGCTTCATTCAGGCCGATGCTGAATTTAGGGTTCTCCACCATGATCCTGTAGTCACACGACAAGGCAATGAGGCAGCCTCCCGCCGGGCTGGACCCCTGGCAAAGAGAAGGAAGGAGTGAGTCTAGGTCATGGTCACAAATGTTCCAGCCTCGCTGTTTCCTCCAGAGCAGGGAAGACACAAGGTGACAGAAATGTCCCCCAAGTCTCTGATTACCTGATTCAGAGCAGCCCTAAAGCAGATTTCTGATAGGTTTATCAGGGTTTATCCTTTCATTTTGCAATGCTCTTTGTTTCTTGCATTTTCCAGCCTGGAAATCTAATTAATTGATCCATGTTACTTGGGTTGCAAACCCTGCAGCAGAGATTTGCTACGGCATTTTCTTATAACGCTACATTGGTTTTTAACCTTGCTTGAGTTTGTAACCCTAAATGCCACAGAAATGGTTCTGTCCAGGGGATTTGTGACACCTTCTGGCTACAAAACTTCCATTTGCGACCATCTTTGCCATGGCTTGGTGCTTGCTTAGCCCTGCACAGGATGCCTGCGGGAAGCCACTCAGAGACCCAGCTGCCTTCAAAGACAGGCTACGGACACAGAACCGTGAGCTGCCAAAGCAGCACTGCACTGAAAAATGAAAACAAGACACCGAGCAGGTAACAACCCATCTACGGACACTGAGATTCAGGCCGCACTTCCCCGCTGGCCAAGAACCACAGCTGGAGGAGCAAAACATGGTTAAAAAAAGGGCTCAGAACAAACTGCACTGCCCAAAGCATTGATGCTTGCAGGGCTGAGGACAAGCACTTGCAGCACCGCATGGCTGCTTCCCATCGCCTCCCCTCTAATGAAGCAGTGCAACGGCCAAGCAAGCGACCCTGGGCAACTCCTACGAGTCTCATCAGTGAAAAAGAAGGGGATTGAGTGCATCCTCAGTGAGTTTGCAAATGACACCAAGCTGGGTGGGAGTGTGGATCTGCTGGAGGGGAGGAGGGCTCTGCAGAGGGACCTGGCCAGGCTGGATCCATGGGCTGAGGCCAGCAGTGTGAGGTTCAACAAGGCTGGGTCCTGCACTTGGATCACAACAAACCCACACAAAGCTACAGGTGTGGGGAAGAGTGGCTGGAAAGCTGCCCAGCAGAAAAGGATGTGGGGGTGTTGGTCGACAGCCAGCCGAATATGAGCCAGCAGGGTGCCCAGGTGGCC